TTGCAGATTTCAAGTTCCACCTATAAAGACAGGAATGAGGAATACAGAAGACAGTTCACACATCTACCTGATACAGAGAGGCTGATAGCAGGTAAAAAAGACAGAAATTTGCAAAACAAAAGTTTTATTGCCTCATTATAAAAATAGAACTATCCTCAGTGACAGTATATGTAATAACATTTAAGCTTTTATGCTAGACAGAATATAATTTTCAAGATAAGCATCATCCTTATGATCCAGCAATCCCATTTCTGGGTAGATATCCAAAAGAAAGGAAATCAATATATTGAAGAGATATCTGCACACTCATGTTTATTGTAGCACTATTGACAATACCGAAGATATGGAATCAACCTAAGTAGCCATCAATGGATGAATGGATAAAGAAAATGTGGTACATAAATTCTATGGAATATTATTCAGCCATAAAAAAGAATGCAATGCTGTCATTTGCAACAATGTGGATGGAACTGGAGGACATTATGTTAAATGAAATAAGCCTGGCACAAGAAGACGGATATCCCATGTTCTCACTTATATGTGGGAGCTAAAAAGAAACTGATCTCATGGAGATAGAGTAGAACGATGCCAGGTGTGGTGGCTCATGCCTGTTATCCCAGCACTTTGGGAGACTGAGGCAGGAACATTGCTTGAGCCCAGGAGTTCCAGACCAGCCTGGTCAACATAGTGAGATCCTGTCTGTATTATTTAAAAAAAATTGGCCAGGTGTGGTGGTATGTGCTTGTAGTCCCAGCTGTTCAAGAGGCTGATATGAGAGAATCACTGGAGCCCAGGAATTGGAGGCTGCAGTGAGCTATGGTGGTGCCACTTTACCCTGGGCAACAGAGTGAGACCCTGACCCGCCCTCAACCCCCTCCCCCCAAAAAAAGAGAGAGTAGAGTGATGGTTACCAGAGGGCTGGGAAGGGTACTAAGAAGGGAAGATAAAAAGGAGATGGTTAATGGGTACAAGAATACGGTTAGATAGAAGGAATAAGATCTAGTATTCAGTATCACACAGGAAGACTATAGTTAACACTAATTTATTGTATATTTCAAAATAGCCAAAAGAGTAGAATTGGGATGTTTCTAACACAAAGATATGATAAATGGTTGACGTGATGGCTCTCTCAATTACTTTGATTTGATCGTTACAAAATATGTGCTTATTCCAGTATATCACATTATTCCATAAACACATACAACAATTCAGTATCCATAATAATTAAAAATTTAACAAAAGATAAGCAGCATCTTCATAATTAGACAATGGAAGACTCAATTGTAATTCAGGGAGGAGTGATTTCTGA